GTCACAAGACTCCAAGTCCATTTCTGGTTTCACTTTCTTCCTTTTTTGCTTTAAGCCACTCAGACCACTGTTTAGGTTTGAGGGCTACGGAATCTGGAGGGAATATCATTCTTTTAGAGAAGAAAAGTCCCGCCCCCCCAATACCCTTTATCTTTTCAAATTGCATTAGCAGATTCTTTTTCCAAGATGCAGTCTCTGAATACAAGATCTCTTTGTAAAATATTCAATGAAGCCTCCACAGACATAGTTCCACTAGAGGAACAGCTCTGTACAATGTTTAGAACAGAGACAGGGAAATAGAAATTGGAACCCAGCAAGCCTTGAAAATCTTATGGGAGAAGTTCTAGAATTTAAACCAACAATCACATCAAACTGACTGCCATCTTTTAAAATTTAACGTATAGCAATCTTATAGGAGAGAAACCTGCGGGTTTCCCAGACTGGCTCTGTCTTAATATTGCTCCAATTTGGGGACCAATACGGCTGCACTGAATAAAGAGGCAAAAGAGCTTAATCACTTATTTATGAACTGGAAACCAACAAGGGTCTCAGCATGCCCTATGTGTCTGCTTCAAAAACCTCTGGGAAACAAGGGAGCATATAAATGTCTTGTGAAAAGGAACAGTCACATCTAGACATTCTTATTTCCAAAGACATGCATATTTTGATCTTTGAAAGAAACCAAGAAAGCCTCTTTAAATGAGGCTCTAAATTTTATTTCACCAAAGCCCTTCTTGAAGTTGCAAGCGGTTTCAAAGAACGGGGCATCGTGATCTAAGAGAGGAGCGTAGAAAGCGTGATCAACTCTGCCTCCAAAGGTTTACCGCATGAAATGCCCACTGCAGCTGTAATTTGTTTTAAGATCATTTTATTGGGGACTCTTACCACTCTTATAACAACCCATGCATCAGTTGTAACAAGCACATGTACATGTGTTTCCATCATTATTTTCTAAACATTCACTTTCTATTTGAGCCCTTGATATCAGCTCCTCTTTTTTGATTTTGAAATAATTTTTGGTCATTGGATGTTCAGAAACTTTGCTGGTGCTGGGTTTGTTAACTTGCATGAAATGCAAGATGGTAGTCCACAACAGAGACAAGAGACATCAAGGAGCAGGGGAAGGCAGGGAACTATTGCGGACATTTAATTTGAGTCTAAAGATCTTGTACAACAGATTTACCTTATGCAACACTTTCGATCTCCATAGTTAGAAGGGTCCTGTTCAATAATGCATTGCACTGCATCGAGAATGGCTGGAGCAATAGTCCTATGGCAGGAAGGGGCTGGCATGTGCTAGAAACAGAGATGTTCTGTAGACAGAATAGAATCAGCATGGCACCATGAGCAAAGGTATAGAAAGCTGAGTGAAAGAGAGATGAGATTGAGAAGATATAAATGTGTCAGATTCTGTTGAACCTTATAGGAAAGTGAAAGGAATTTCCAGATATTTTCCTCGAACTGCATTGTGGACATATTGGATGTTACAAATGCTTACCATGTTCAGCTACTAACCAAAAGGCTGATGACTAGAAGAAATTTAATGAAACAAAAAGTCACAGTTCTTTGGCTACATGGGTTGTGATTCAGAGATGAATCAATATATGTGGTTCCAGGTAAGCAGAGGAAAGATACAATCTGGTTTATGTTTTGGAACGATAGCTCCAGAGCTGAGCTGGAGATGGTTCATAGAAGGGCTAGGGTGGGAGCAGCAGATCAGGGGGACTGTGGAACTTTTGAGAGTGGATGAAAAGAGAAAGCGGGCAAGGATAAAACCCGAAGGCATTTTATATCTAGTGACTCTATTGCTGCTGTTGCTGTTAGGTCCCACCCAGTCAGTTCCGACTTCGAGTGACCATCTGTATAATCAAATGAAACACTAGCTGGTCCTGCACCTTCCTCACAATTGTTCTTATGCTTGAGCCCATGGCTGCAGTCACCATGCAATCCATCTTGTGGAGGGTCTGGCTTTTTTCTCCGCTGCCCCACTGCTTAACCAAGCATGATGCCCTTCTCCAAGGATTGGTTCCTCATGACATCACGTCCAAACTGATGACGTCTCCTCATCCTTGCCTCTGGGGAGCATTCTGGCTGAACATCTTTCAATATTGAAAGTAATTTCAATATTCTTCGCCAGCACCATAATTCAAATGCATCGATTCTTCTTTGGTCTTCCATAGTTAATGGACAACGTTCTACAGCTGTGGGCTTGTTTTTTTCAGTTAGGAATCAGCACCATGGCAAGAGATTTCCACGTGTGATCTCACTTGAATCTTTCAACTAGCTAGTGAAACTGATATTATGATACCCAGTTTTCATGTAAGAGAACTCATCAAGTGGTTATGTAATTTGTCAATATTGTTAGTGATAAGCAATGGAGTCCACGTTTTCTGTAGATGCTCTGGAAATTAGTTGGTAAAAAATAATAAGCCATTTAGGGTCACAATTTGACTCAACTTTTATTTAGGAATGGTCAAAGACACAGTTTATCAATATATCATTTTTCTTTCCACTTTCTGCAGGAATTTAGATTTATTTGCAACAAAGTTCACAGAAACTATGCATGTAGGGCAAAGTTCATTACAGAAAAATTATTTGAAGACACACCACATTTAAGACACTGTGGTTAAGCTCTGCTGATACAGACATTGTTTCTGCCTGTTAGAAAATGTAACATACAATGAATGTTAAGATGAAAACTTTAAGAGTATTAGTTAAATGAAGTTGCTGTTTACTGAAAAAAATTAATCCATTATTAAATATATTCATACACAATTAATAGCATAGCTTCAAATATCTATCTATCTATCTATCTATCTATCTATCTATCTATCTATCTATCTATCATCTATCTATCTATCTATCTATCTATCTATCTATCTATCTATATCCATATAGCTGGGAGAACGGTGCGGGTGTGGGGGGCCATATTCTGTGGTCCTAACTAAAATCGACCAATCCCATCATTAGTGTCACACATACCCTATTGCATAGTCCCACACAATCACTTGGTGGAAGTTATAGAGACAAGGATCAAAAAGACTTTTGATTAAGAACTTTTACTCCACCATAGTATTTGTCTGCAGGTTTGATGAATTCGTTTTTTCAACATAGACCGTTCTCACTTTGACTATTCTGATACACATGTGTTCTGATTGTCACCTGACAACAGGCCTTGACCCGTCCCGTAGGTCATCAAACAACGTGGATACCTGAAAAAGGGACTGGGAATGAAGAGGGGCAAGAGACGCGAGAAATGGAGGCAAGACGGGAGTCTGATCAAACCTCGTTTATTGAGCAGAAGGCAGAGGCCTAAATACCCAATGGTGGGCGGGTAACATTACATCATATGCTAATAAAGTGTAACAGGTCGTATCCAATAATCACGCAGCTACCTAATATGGAAGAAATGGCAGGCATCAGTCCTCAAACAGGTCCACATGCAAATGAGGTGCACTTGGATGCCTGGCGGAGGTGTCCAATGAGCATGGCGGCTGCCTGCCACCGAGCACCAATCATCACAAAGGCCAAACTCAGGCAGGACAATAGGCCAGGGAACATCCGGGAATGGGAAGCTTAAAGACAGCGGATGGCACAGGCCTCACATTTCAGTACCAGAGCAGATAAACAATACAATTATTTGAATGATTTCATGAGTGCACACTTTCCTGCCAGCTCTTCAGCCAACATATAAACAACAGGTGCTCATCATCATGAGACAAAGACAGCCTTTCTTTCAAAGTCTGTCAGTGACTGCTCACTGCACGTGTTTTCAGGTCATGCACAGAAAGCAAAGCAGGTGGTTGTACTGACTCCTTGCCTCCTATGTATTCAAGATGAATACCCCGGAGAAGGGATTGTGCCCTACCCCCCAAAATGGCAAATTTGACTGAGAAATGAAAATTCTAATGCTAAAAGTGAAATGCGAATCCAATGTAACTGGAATTGCAGGGGAAAAATAGCTGACTGAGAACACTGGTATTGCTACTATTAAGAGACATGTGGCCATGGGGACCCTTAGTGAAGACTTGCTGTTGACCTAGAAAATAAAATGCTTGTGATGTAAAGGTTGAAGGCGTTTCACCGGAAGAAATGCTGGTAATGTTTTCAGATACTTTACAGCATGGAAAGCACAAGAACAAAACGTTAGGAGCTGATTCAAACAGAGAAAGGAATATGAAAAATTTTATCTCGGTAGAGCAAGTTATGCTATCAAAAGGAAGGTAAACATTTCTCAGACTTCTCCCAAGTGTTTACCTTTTTTAATATATATATCAAAGAAAGAATACAAACCAATTCTAAATGTTTCTGATGTTTTGATTTACAAAGTAGTAAAAAATACAGTTTTTACTACCAGTTTTATTGTTTTTAAATTTAAAATTTTATTATTTAATATTAATTTTAATATTTTAAAATTTATCATTTTTAAAATTTTCTAGCACAAAATGTTTTGAATGTGTGCAAAAAAACATTTTCAGGGTTCACTGAACAGCCATAATTTTGGTCAATGACTACTAAGGTTTTGGGATGGTTTCAGGGCGCATGGTCATTTTTATGCCTCCATGTGTACAAAGCAAGGACTGCCAATATATGAAAATATATTAGAGGGAGCCGATTACAAGGAACTATATGTGACCTCCTCCCTGGGGGACAGACAACCAAAAAGTGGGTGAAGGGAGACGTCGGACAGGGCAAGATATGACAAAATACCAATTTATAAACTATCAAGGGTTCATGAGGGAGGGGGGAGCAGGGAGGGAGGGGAAAAATGAGGACCTAATGTCGGTGGTTTAAGTGGAGAGAAAATGTTTTGAGAAAGGATGCACAAATGCGCTTTACACAATTGATGTGTGTATGGATTGCAATAACAGTTGTATGAGCCCCTAATAAAATGTTTAAAAAAATAAAATATATAAAAAATAAAAACCAAAAATATATATATATATATATTTTAGTAAGTTCAATGTCTAGTTATAAAGGTACAGTATACTGAAAATTATTATACTCTGGGATCAAAATAAAAGTATGAGAGAAGCTTCCAAAGGCTTGTGGAAAAGTGGAATTTAAAATTATTGAAATTTCTCCACTAATTTTTTGTAGCCCTCTTTTATCAACTCATCAAAAACCTTATTTAGAACCATCCTATGCCAAATGCCTTTATTATACTACCACATGATACATTTGTACCCTCATTGTTAATAGAGAGTATGAACATGTTAGCAATAGTTTTGGTAGACCAGAAAATGGATTAGTAGTTGTCAATAACAAATGCCAATCCATGTCTATGGAAAACCAAGGAGCTTGTTACAAATCCATTTCTTCTTGGTGTCTGACCTGGCACTACTGACACCCTTGTCATTCAAGTAGGCGCACTCTCCAGCTCCTTTGATGATGAACCTAAAACCAAGTGCAAAACCATGAATTACACAGAGGCTGGAGATCTAAATTTACTCCCCCACTATAAATCCTCAGAAACACCCCTCTATATTTTGTATGTCAATAAAAGAACAAAACTATGTCATCAATAGGGCTTCTGAATATCTTTTCCTGATTTAATGTCTCTTATATTCTCAAGGTCCTTGCTGGAATTATCACAGGCTTTGCATTCATCAGAACAAACCTAGAAGTATTGCTGATATGATGTGTGTGTGCAACTGGAGTTTGGTGTTGTGCCCAAACAGAAGGCTACCGTGTGTGGCCATCAGTCCAGTATATTTTCGGTCATACCCTGAATTGCTTCGTAAATGTGTGAAAAAAATTTTTTTTATTACTTGCAAGTAAATTCCAAAAAGGTCTAAACTTTCGTTTATGGAAATGATTAGAGCTTCACCATATATCCCCTTCAATGAAATGCCTGGGGCCAGCAGGCCGGTTCCCACTCACAGCCATTCCATGAACAACAGTGCCAACACTGCCTGTCCTGCACCATCCTCACCACCAGTGCTGTGTGTGAAACGATTCTTGGGGCCACGGTGTCACTCCACCTCACTAAGGAACTTCTTTTTTGCTGACCCTCTACTTTATCAGGCATGATGTCCTTTCCTTGGACATTCAAAATATCCTAAAGAAATCAGCTCACTCTCAGGTTTCTTTGAGCAATACAACCAGACAGATTTCTCCGGGTTCTTTACGGTCTTCCTTGTCTGAATGGAAGTAGCAGCTGGGAGAGTGGGCTTAGTAGTCAAGATATCAGTGCAACAAAGGGCTGTGGAAATGGACATGTCTGACCTCCTCTGGCTTTCCTGTTGCCATGAGGCAGGGGTCCCACATACCTTCGCATTCCATCCTGCTTTACTCCTTTGACACCAGGCCACCTCAGATCTATGCTGGGCTTGATAGTTCATTGCAATGGCCACACAGAACTGAAAGACACTACTCACAACTAAGGGAGTTGTTTAGGGAAGTTAATAGGTTACCACAAGTTAGGAGCAACAAACAATAAGGAAACAATTGGTTTCCTCAGTCAGCTGTCAAATCTTGGTGGTTCTCGGCCTCTGAGCCATGTGGTAGCCAAGTCTCTCTCCAGTTCTTAGTCTCTTGGTCATGTGGTCCTTTGTCCTTTGCTGCTGTGGGCCAGTATGCCAACCAGCCTGTCACTGTCTCAGGCCAGAAGAAGAGAAAGCAGCCCATGGTATTGGCATTGTTGTTCTTCTAAGGTCCTCTGGGTTCCTCTCTTCGAAGCTGCTCCACAGATGGCTCAGCTTCACAGCAAGGAAAATGGACCAATCCCTTCTATTAGTGTTACCCACACCCTTTTTGCATAGTCTCACCGAATCATTTGGTAGGAGTTACACAGGGACTTGGGTACTCTGACACAAAACTTACTAGCATTGAGTTGTTGTTGACTATAGGAACCCCCTGTGGTTTCTGGGACTTTAAATGTTTGTCAGAGTAGAAAGCCCAGTCTTTCACCTGTGGAGCTGCTGGTGGTTTCAAACTGCTGACTATGAGCATCCCAGCCCAACCTGTAACCACTAGCCCACCAGGGCTCCTAGATATTGGCGTAGAAAAGCCACATTAAGAAATTTCACACCACCACAATCAGTTCTTCAGTGGCCTACTAGGATTTTTAAACAATTGATTTACATCAATTGTCTTTATGTTCTACAAAGGTCTTCAGTAAATAAAAGTTTTCAATCAATGGATGAGTGCAAGAACTTTATCAAAAGCCATTATAACACTACAGGTTTAACTTTGATTGATATCATCACAATATGTAATATTTTCCCAGAGTGACAACTAGTAAATGGAGGAGCAGACAGAGGATTTGTATTCTACCCCATATTTCAGTGGACTTCATATGACATTAAATTGATTAGCTCATAAAGACGTCTCACATACACGGTCACACATTAACACAGCATAAGGAAGACAAGTCTCAAAACATACCAGCTATTGTGGTCAGTGCCATCTGTCCATTCCCAGTTGTCAATTGATGATTCTCTGCTGAGGCCAATCCAGTGGTCAGAAGGACCTGCGTACCTTTTCAGGAAATCCTAAGATAACACCCAAAATGAAAAGATGTGCTTCTCTTTCTCATATCAGTCTTGAGTGTCTGTGCCCTATTTCTTCCCTTTTGGGGTGGAAGCATGGTATAGTTGAGAAGTATACACACTGGAGTCAGATCAGTGTCCAATTTTCAGCACTTGTCATTTAATACATGATCCTTAGTAGTTACTTAAAGATAACCACATGTTTTAATTCACCTAGTAAACTCCCAATTTCTATCTGTTGTTCTAGGATAATATTTTATTGTGCCCACTTTCACTTCCCAAGATGTCCTAATTTAAATGATAATTTATAAATGTATTTTACTATATTCATTAGTGGAATATGGAACATAGAACTAATAAACATATCAAATCTGCATATTAGCTAATGTGGATTAAATGAAGGTATTTAAATGTCTCACAGGATTCCAAGCATGATGAATATAACTCAACAAATGTCATCCCTTCTCCAAAGGTGCCTCCCTTATCTTAAAGTCTGGCTGGATTGGGTTCCTTCTTTATCACATCATTTAGCTTTATCTCTGTTAGGCCATCCCTTCGGGTGACTAACTATTCAACAGAAAACATGATCCCCAAACAATACTTACCAGTTCTTTCAGGGTTTCAAACTGAGCAAGTCTGGCTTCCACTGAGGTACAGAACGCCTGACTGAATGTCCAGTTCCTTGCATTCTCAGAAAAATAATAACACTTCCCACTAAATTCAATCCAGTATTCTGGGCAGGCAGCACACACAGGAAACACGAAGACATGCTCTTTATCTCGCCCTAGGAGTTAGACAACCACAATAGAATAGATTCAATACAGTTCATCTTCCCTTTTAACTGTTTACCGGTTTCATAGGCTGTGAGCTGGAAGACATATGCTAAGCACAATAGTCTTTAAATTTAGTGGTCTTCAAGATGGGAACCAATGAACCTTATAGCTCAAGCAGCCAATAAATGCAAATGATTTTCAGGAACTCAATTTCCACAGTATCAACTTCCTTAATATTTGCATTAAACCAGGTTGACTAGACAAACAAACCAGGGACACTCATCTATGTATAAGAAACAGCTTGTGGTAGTTACATGACCTGGTGTCAACTTGAGGATATTAAGAGTGAAGGGGTGGAGTCTAGCCTGTCAATCAGGTGGGCGTGGCCTTCTCATGAGGATTCTGGGAAGTGCTTCTCTTCCTCCCTGGAGGCAGGACACACTCTGTGCTTCACCTTCCTGCTGACAAGCTACTTCAGGCTATACTGATGGCAGCCAGAGTCCTGAGATGCTTCCACCGCCACTGGATCCACAAAACTATCCACCCACCGGCCTGTGATATAATATAATATAAGAAAACGTCCCAGCCAAGTCCAGATCTAGTCCATATGTCCGATATTAGCCCATATGGCTGATACTAGTCTATAGTAACCCTCTGTCTTTGATAGACACCCCCTCCAAAAAACGAAAAACAAAACACAGGCAAACCCCTTCTTTCTCCGTGATTTTATTATGATGTATTTTGTGAGAGCTCCAGAAGTCCCCAGAGGATATTTTAATAGCAGATAAAAAATATCGTTTTTAGTACCAAAAATGCAATCTGGGCCTTCTTTTTCTGTCTTATATGTATTTCTGTTAAATATGGATCCCTGTCTGGTTCAAACAGGCAATGCACATAACTGTCAACCAAACATTCGAACATCCAATTCCACCCAGAGGCACCTTAGAAGCAAGGCCTGGAATCCTACTTCTGAAAAATCAGCCACTGGAAAAAAACCTATGGAACACAATTCCTGGACCTATGGGGTGATCATGCATCAGAATAGACAGCAACTGGTATTCATGTGTGAGATAGCTCTATAAGAAATAATTTGGCCCTTGCCATACAATCTGAAACAAGTTATATTTCAGATCTGGGGTCATCAAAAGAACAGAAGTTTTTGTTTCATAATTTCACTTTTTCTTCTCTTAACATGTTTTCTTGTGTAGTCCATGGACCAAGTAATGTGGAGAGCCTATTGGCTCTCTACGCAAAAGTTCAGTAATTTTTAAAAGCATATAGTTCTTTAGTGTATTCTCAATTAGCTAAAAAAGACACAATTTTTAAAAATAGAGAGGAAATGCCTAAAAACCTTTCAAGCCAAAGTGTCCCCTGACTATTTCTTGAATCAAATGGCAATTTGGATTAAAGCAAGCCATGGAGTAGGTCCATAGATGTAGTACCAGATCTTCCCACAAATATCCTCCAGCCACCACACTGCTTATATCAGTAAATGTCAACTATTCTCTTGTATTGCTAACATCCTCATTTTTAAGAGTTAACTATGGCAAGGAGCATGCTATATTTACCATCACCTGTTAACTGCAACCAGTTTGATCCATCCCTTTATTTATTAAGTTGACTACCTATGAATACTTCGGCTAGAATGCACATCCATGAGAACAGAGAATTTTGTGGTTCACCTGGACAGGGCTGAGCACATACTAGGGCTAGATAAATATGTAGTGATAATACACATATACACAGAGCAATGTAAATTTTAGAGCATCAGTGAAGTTACTTACCCTGTAAATAAACAGAAAGTGCAACCACGCATAAAGTCAGGAGTATCATGAGGAAGCAACACACAAATTTGGTAGTGGTTATCATGGATGTAATTCTTAGACAATTCATTTTACCTGAAAAACACAAATATCATGAAGGTTTAAGGGAGAAAAACCAAATTTATCATAGAATCACAACTAAGCATAATTTACCCCCAATATTAGAAAGGCTACGATGCCAATCTCCTCTCTTAAAATCACCCACGATCTTCCCTTTATTCCTTATTCATTTTTTAAAATCCCTTCCTTTCACTTTGGGCTTCTACTCAAGGCCTCCCTTAGTACAAGAATACCTTGTTCTAATAACATGGCACTCTTTGATACTCATGTCCCTAACACGATCACTGAAGATAAAATGGGTGCATAAGCAAATGTGGTAAAGAGAGGGGATGGTGCCCGGTTATCAAAAGGTACAGCATCTGGGGTCTTAAAGTTAAACAAGCAGCCATCTAGTAGGAAAGCAAATAGGGAAGCAAATAAGCCCACATGGAAGAAGCACACCAGCCTGTGTGATGAAGAGGATTGAGAGAATCAGGTATCAGGTATCAAAAGAACCAAAACAACTATAGCATGCAAATGAGGGTGGTTGGAGTGGAGTCCCAAAGACTATCTGTAGACAATTGGATATCCCACCCCAGAAGGTTTATAAGGAAAGGATGATATAATCAAAGTGCAGTATAGCACCATTGAAACACACATCATTCCTCTAATTCCTGAATGCTTCCCCACCCCCACTCCCACCCCCACCCGCCATTACCATGATCTAGTTCTAGCTTACAAATGTGGCTAAACCATAGTACACACATTGGTACAGGTAAGAGCTCTCGACACATGGAATTCAGGGCAGATAACCCAACCCCTCAGGAAGAGGGAGAAAGGGGGACCACATCATATGGTTGGATATATAGCCTCCCCTGCCCTCAAGGGGACCGATAACAGAAATGTGGGTAAAGGGACAGTGTCTCCCTTGTGGACCTGACCACAAGCCCTGGGCAGCTTGCTTCCCACTCTGATTCTTTAGGCACCACTGAGCAGCGGAGACCTGAGAGATCACCCAGGACAACGCGCTAAGTCAGTCGTCATCATAAAAGACGTGTCCGTCTCATTTAGGGAAGATTACAGCCCTGGAAACTGCGTGGGTGGGATTGCTCGTCACTAGGAATCTACACCAATGGGTTTAGGTTACTTTTTTTTCTTTCTCTCTCCCCCCACCCCCAGCTAAATAATAGACAGGTCTATAAGCAACTAATGACATTATGGATGTTCATGCCTTAGAATAATGCTGGCCAACACGTATTATTGTTTTTATTAACTTGTCTAAAATGGGAGACCCGCTGATTTCAATAAAAAGGCAGCAGACATCTATAAATGCTCTTTGCCTCCCAGCTCTTTCCTCTAGTTCCCTTGACTTTCCTCCTGTCCCACTATCATGCTCAGTCCCCACCAGGGTTTCA